ATAAAACGTTTTTATATTATTACTTAATGAAGCATTATCAAGTCCTAGAGTGGGACTTATATATATATATATATATATATATATATATATATATATATAAATAAATAAATAAAAGGTTTTATAAGAGTTATGTTGTAGGAAAAATGATTGTGTAATGTTATAGAGATTAGTTTTGCATGAATTAATTTATTTTTTTTCTTTTTTCTTCAAAAAGTGTGGCCCCACAAAATATTGTGTGTGTAGGAATGTTTGTTGTGTCATGTTAAATGACAAACGCAAATCCCATATATATATATATATATATATATATATATATATATATATATATAGTGCGAGTTCAGCATTTTAATGATGTGTATGTCAATACAAAATTAGGTAATTCTTCTGAATCAATATATTTAAGCCATGTATATAAGAGATCCAAGAAGGTTAACTAAATATTTGTGGGATTAGTATTTGTTCTTTTATAAGATATATAATTGTGTCATTTTAATCAAAACTGCATTATTTTATGGTGAAAGAAAGAGTTACATAATAAAATCATGGTAGGAAAAAATGAAATATTTTTTAATTTAAATATTAAATAAAAATATTATTTTAATTTAAATAACTATCCTTTAAAAGAATAAATATTTTTTTCATAAAAAACTTTTTTAGAAAGATTACATGCTTAACTGTCCTTTTAAAAGTAAAGTTAAAAGTTGGTTGATGATTATAAAAAAATTTAGCTTAAAAGTTCCTTAAAAATTGTTCATTAAAAAAAAAAAGCTAACACAACTAAAAAAACCTCCTTTTAGTAGTTTGTGACTTTTTTCTTCATTATAAAAAATAGCTCTTTTTATTATAAAAGTTTTTGTAAAAATATATTTGGTACAATTTCTGCTTATAAAAAAAGAAAAAGCTAAAAAAAAAAATCCCACACAAACACTTAGAGCTTGTTTGGATATTCTCTTTTTTAAGCTAGAAACTACTTATAAGCTAAAGCTTAAAAAAAAGCTAAAAACTGTTTGGTAATCACATAAAATTTTTAGCTTAAAAGCACATATTTCAAGAGAATTATCTCTCTCTATCTTTGTAACTCTTCATTATAAAAAAAGTACACAATTCAGGAAAAGCATATAAGAGCTTAAAAAAAGCTCCTACTAGGAGCTTTTGGCTTTTAGCTTTTTTATTCATTATAAAAAAAGAGCTTTTTTCAAAATCTGTTTGGACTAACTTATACTTATAAGTAGCTTCTAACTTAAAAAAGAGATGATCCAAACAGGCACTTAATAATATTGTCATCTTATGTCACCTCACCTTACAATAAATAAAAGCATTTTGTTTTCGTGCCCACTTGATAGAATGATCATAAGAATTCTCCAATATAGGTCATCTCCTATTATAAGTAAGACATTTAAGTTCCAAGGTAAATTATCTTCTTCTTTTTTTGTATAACCTGGAGGTATCCCCATTCTACCTCCTCCGATCACCTTCTACCTCCTCCGATCACCTTGCCCTCAGGATACAGCCTTGTAGACTAGCCCCTCATTGGAACAATGGGTGCATTGAGCTTCGCTACCAGAGGAAAGATGAGACTAATCCCCTCATTCGAGGAGGGAGGCACATCCTCTGGCCCCCAAAGATTTTTCAAGAATTTGCTTGAGGCAGGGTTTGAACCCCTGACTCAAGCAAACCCTTGGGAGCTCAGTTGCCAACTGAGCTACCCTTGGGGGTTTTATCTTCTTAATCTTGCTTAAATCTGCTTACACAAATTATAATTTGGACATTAGAGCATCGTGTATGTACATCCCCTTCCAGAGATTAATGAAAAAGCAACTTCAAGACAACCCCAACAGAATATTCAAGTCTAGTGAGTAATATACAAAACGTACATATTGACAACCCCAAAGAAATATTCAAATCTGGTCAATGATATACAAAACTTACATATTGATAATGTATTAAAAAAAAACACACACGCATATACATGCACAGTATTAAGCTTACTATTATTTCTCAACGGCAACATCTAAAACTTACAAGTAAAATTTAAGCACCCACTTTTTTTGGATTTACATTATCCAAAATAATTTAGTATTCAAAATTTTGGATAAAATGAATACTTGTTGCTATTTGTTTTATCTAGAAATTATCGTTTGAATCTAGTTGAATTATATACAACATTTCTCATTTATTTTCCATGTGGGCCATTCTTAATCAGCTTCCCATTGACTGGCGCCACACACTTTGCTGTCATATGCGAGATGCATCGTATGTCTCCATTACTCACCTGCCATATCCTATGCTTATTCAGCGCATTATGGAGCTTAAGGGTGTATCCATGGATGGTGAAGTGAAAAAGAAGCTCATGACCGGTCATAATTGCTTTGGAGAGAAGATGCTTGTGAAGACGAACATCATCCGCTTACATGGTCAGTGGCAATGGGATGATGAGGCCGTATATGGTGACGCCTCTGCTGACGACATGGATGAGGATCCGAGTACTCCGCAGGCTGTTGATATACCAGCAAATCCCTCTGTTGCTGCGGCTCCACTTCCTCCACTGCCTCCTCCACTTGCTCCCCGAGGCTACTCTTCTCATGGCATCATGCTTTACCTTCAGCGACAGGAAGCTGCTCATATTGCCTTTCGTCATTGTATCTCTACTCGCCTCACTCACATTGAGTCCACTCTTGGTATTGCTTCTCCTGCGGGTGATGATGGTGCTTCTTGTGACGATAATGATGAGGATGATGCTTAGTCTATGATTACTTGATGTTATTTTTTTTGCTAGATTGTGATTTTTGGGACGCTTTGTACTCTCTCTTTTTGATGATATTTTTTAGTACTACGCATATCTTTTTCATGTATGTATCGTTTTTTGCTTAATGTTATGAGTCTTGTTTTCCTTGAGATTTGATCGCACTCTTATCTTTATCGCACACTCTTTTATGTTCTTTTCTCTATTAGATTACTCGCTTCCTTTTGATGTTGCCAAATGGGGGGTGGGGAGATATACTAAATTGAGAAACATTCAATTAGTCAATTTGAAAGGTAAATATGGGAAGATATTGAAACCTAATAAATGAAATAAACTAACATGGTCTAAGAGGGAGTATTGGGTTTCAAATGAATAAATTTATGCTACACTAACCCTCTTTCTCAATTTAAAGTTTGTCATCATTAAAAAAAGGGGAGATTGAATAATCAAAGTGATTATGTGGTTGCCACGTACTCAAAGTTAATACACTTGATGATGCCACATCAACATGGTTTTGATGATAATAAACAAACTCAAAGAGGAACGAAGCAACATCCAAAAGAAGTCAAGCCAATGAGAAAGCAATGCAAATCAAGCATTAAGTCTCAAAGAATGAAGCTAAGTACAAGACCTCACTGGTACAATCATTTAGGACTTAAGAAAGATATGTAAAGGTGTATAGATTCTAGCATTGCATGAGCTCAAGTCATACATATAGTTACCCAATCATAAAGTGCTTAAAAATCTTGGTTTAACTAGTCAAAAGTGCATCAAAAGGTCTTTAAAATAATTTAAGCATTTAAGCAGCCTTGCACAGTGTAATCACACATGTTCACGATCCTAAATCACTCATTTGAACTTAAAAGAATGCATCTTTAATACTAAGCTTTAAAGAAATGTCAAAATGAATGGTTTAATATGTAAAGATTGGTTTGGAAAGGTATTTACAAGATCTAAACACTTATAGATAGCTTCCATAACCAATTACATGTATGGGGTTTGCATTTGTCATTTAACATGACATAACAAAGTTTCATACACACACAACATTTTGTGGGCCCACACTTTTTGAAGAAAAAAAAATATGGCACGCAAAACGAATCTCTATAACATTACACAATCACTTTTCCTACAACATAACTCTTATAAAACCCTACATGTATTCCAAGTAATAGAAACCATCTTGAAAGGAAAGAAATTCAGATTTCTGGCAAAAAAAAGGTGCTGCCATGAAATATCTGAATATTGCACTCTAAATATTTGGATATCAATATTCGTGCTTATGTTGCGCAACAGTCAAATATATGCTTCATTTCGGATCGACATCGTAGCATAATATCTGCTGTGGAGAATGACCGTAATTGGCAGCCACCGAATGCGCATCACATTTTTTTGCCTTCTTCATATTGCTAGCAATTTAAATCAAAAAGTTTAGAAATAAGAAATTGAATGGGGCATTAAAGAATCTAGGTATGATTAACCAATCCTAACTCCAATCTGTGAGTATAATGGATTTCTAATGTATATATTTATCGTTGTGTGTAGGTTATACTCCTTTAATGGGGAATTTTGAAATAGCATTTGCACGATTCTGTGATACTAGTCCCCAGGTTGCAAAATGGATTGATGGCATCTCCAAGGAAAAGTGGACACATGCATATAATGTGGATGGTCAAAGATATGGGCATATGAAACAAACTTTGCAAAATCTGTAAACAGGGTGTTAAAAGGGGCAAGAGAACTTAGAGAGAAGTTAGAGAGAGAGAGTAAAATAGTAAAAAGTGAAAAAAAGGATTTATATAGAGCAGATCACGCTTGGCCTGGGTGTGAGGGGTCACGCCTAAGTGAGGCGTGACCTACGTGGAACTTACGCCTAAGTGAGGCATAACAAGTGATTCCCAATCAGCGCATGAGATCTTGCAATATATCCGTAAATAATATGAAAACAGCTATAAATTTGTAATTATTTATTTAAATTACCATATTTTAATTTTTTTTTCCGAAATTTTAAGTATCTCGTATAAAATGAATGAGAATAGTATTTTACATTATCTAAATCTAAACGGAGTGGGGGAGATATAGTTTTGTCGTGCGTGCATTCCACGCGTTGTGCAGTGCACGTGACACAGGTCACATTCCAAGCACCGTTGCTCCTTCTTTCGCACTCGCTTTCTTCCTCCCAATTTCCCAAGGTTAATGCTTTTCCCTATTTATCAAAAAAAAAAAAAAAAAAGCTTTTCCCAGCCCCAAAGTTCTTTCTCATAGGATTCCGTTGAAACACCGAAGCAGGCAAAGAAGAAAGCAACGCCGATCCGTGAACCTCACTCGAGTTCTCTTTCGGCCATGGCTCCTTCTATCTCCGAACGAGTGCAACTGGCCAGGCTCTGTGCCTCAAGGGACTGGTCCAAGGCCATTCGAGTACTCGATTCGCTCATTTCTCAGTCCGGTGCAATCCAAGACATCTGGTTCGCATTACACTTCTTTCGTCTCCAATTCTCCTTTTTGGTGATTGATTCGCTGATTTTGATTCCAAATCTAATTCTGATGGTTGCTTTCAGCAACCGAGCATTTTGTTACAGCAAATTAGAGCTTCACAAGCACGTGATTAAGGATTGCGATAGAGCGCTTCAGCTTGACCCTTCTCTTCTTCAAGCTTACATTCTCAAAGGTCCTCCTCTGCCCTAATCAGATACATTCACCGTTTTTTCTTTCTTCTTTCGACATTTTTTTTTGGTGGTGTCATCTTGACCATTATTGAGTTTACGCTTTTCTTACCTATTTCAATTGCATATTTTACTCAACCTATGTCTCGGAAATTTACTCTGCTGCTGTTGACTTTTTCTGACTATGGTAATTAGTTCAGTTCCTATTCCCTGGGCGTTTTCAGATATGCTACTTCTCAGATTAGTTAAATTGGTGGATTTGTTTTAGATAGCAAATGATTACACTCTGTAACTAATGCAGCCGAGGGCAAAGGCAATTTAATTTAACTTCACTGAAGAATAGAGTTGGTTGATGCATAGTGATTATGTTGGAATTGTTTTATAATGAATTTGTTCATGCTGTTTATAGATTTGTTTCGCACCATTCTTTTTGTTTACAATGGAGGTTAAACTGAATTTTTCTCATACACAGACATGTGTATAATCTGTTGAAATTAGTGGTAGTTTATACTTTGTTCTGTCATGTAGGTTGTGCCTTCTCCGCATTGGGGAGGAAAGCGGATGCTTTATTGGTATGGGAGCAAGGCTATGAACATGCTTTGCATCAGTCTGCAGACTTGAAGAAGATGCTAGAACTTGAAGAGCTTCTGACAGCAGCAAAACAAGCCAACAATGCATTGAGTGAAACCCATGGGCCGTCTAAGCCACAGTCTGAATCAGATTCTCTGAGTAATGGGAACTCAAATGAAACTTATAAGAATCAAGATGGGTTGAACACTCAGGCTGAATTATGTGGCAATGCTAGTGATAAATCTAAGATATGCCTGAAGTCTACTGATAACTTTGACTCGAAAAATGAATTGCATGATGAAGATATAGAGTCTAACAAATCTGATGGCCAAGTGAATGGAAGCCCTGATGTTCTAGATACATTGAGTTATAATTCTGAATCATGTAATGACTCAAGTGACGCTTCAGAATCGTGCGATAAAGTATCTACCAATAGTAATGACTCAATTAGTGTCAGTGAAATTTTTAGAAATCCAATTAGTAAGTATATTTTTCCCCATGAAAGAAATGATGAAGTAAGGAAAAATAAGAAGTTCTGCGTTGCTCGGGTTTCAAAGACAAATTCCATAACTGTAGATTTTCGACTCTCAAGGGGTATAGCAGAGGTTTGTTTTCATGCTTTTACTTCAATAAGCACTATTACACGACAACTGCTGTGTTGTCGTGTTTATGCGTTTAAGAGCATATTTGACATTGTGGTTCTTTTGCAGGTTAATGAAGGAAAATATGCTCATGCCATATCCATTTTTGACCGGGTGAAAACTTGTTCTTACTAGTGATACTCTTCATTTCTTCCTTTCATGCATATGCTATCTTGCCCTCTCTTTTTTCCTACCATCAAATAACAAACTATAACCTTGTCCCCATCATATATGCAGATACTGAAAGAGGACCCTGCATATCCTGAGGCACTGATAGGAAGAGGGACAGCATATGCATTCCAGAGAGAACTTGATGCTGCTATAGCTGATTTTACGAAGGTACTTGACCGAACACTATCTTACAGGTATATATGGAGATATGATATTTCTTCTATACGTAAGTTGTTTACGTGTATATCTTAGGCTATACAATTTAATCCATCAGCTGGTGAAGCATGGAAAAGGAGAGGTCAGGCCCGGGCAGCCTTGGGAGAGTTTGTTGAGGCGAGCACAGCTAAGCTAACCCTAATTCTTAGATCTTAGTAGCTGTCTAACATGTTGAAACTGACAATGGTGGAAGCCTCTAGCACTGGGCCCGCCTTTGTTTATATACATACTCCATGAAATAAATCAGTTGTACTACAGGAAATGAAAAATGGCAAGGAAATTTTATTTTATGTATGGCTATACTTGTTTTAACTAAGATGCTAAGTTTGTATGGGTTTGAGTACTATTTGAGTATTGCCACTTAAAGCTTTAGGCTTTTTGTTGGATGCTTAAATACTTAATTCTTTTGGTGCTAAACTAATTTGGTGGTCAAGAGTCCTGTGGTCTTTTCATAGTAGTTAATTGCGCCGCGAGCTGCACCGTATAGGTGTTGCGGTTCCTCGCCGCAAGAAACCGCGCCGCACTGCGCCAGAATGCAATAGCGGCCATTGCGATCGCATTTGTGGCCATATTGCTATCATAAGGCAAAATATCAATTTTGTCCTAAATTTAAATATGTAACAGAAAAAATTTAAGGGTTTTTTAGTCTATCGGCGTCTCTCTGTATCACTTATACTATCTCTGCCCTTAAAAAATGTGTCTTTTTGTCATTATTTCTATCATATATCTATTCCGCTATTTCCGCAACCGCGCCAGAATGCAATGGCGGCCATTGCGATCGCATTTGTGGCCATATTGCTATCATAAGGCAAAATATCAATTTTGTCCTAAATTTAAATGTGTAACAGAAAAAATTTAAGGGTTTTTTAGTCTATCGGCGTCTCTCTTTGTCACTTATACTATCTCTGCCCTTAAAAATGTGTCTTTTTGTCATTATTTCTATCATATATCTATTCCGCTGTTTCCGCAACCACAACCCGCTATAACGCTATAGCGTTTTTCGGGATTGGCCGCGACATGCCGCAATCCGCATTTGATAACTATGGGTCTTTTATTGGTTTATCCTCATAAATTCAATGTTATTGCAATTTCTAACTATCACCTACAAGATCTTATGTTCTATAGTATAAAAAGTTTGAAATATGAAAAGATTGAATTTTTTTGGGCATTTTTTTTTTAGCACAAGTGTCAACCTGTAAATGTGACAATTGTTTTTTCCCTCCTCTTTTGATATGGATGTCAGGCTATTGAAGACTTGAGTAAGGCATTAGAGTTTGAACCGAACACAGCAGATATTTTACATGAGAGAGGTAGCTTGTCTTAAAACTGTCTCTTTTGTTTTCATTTATTTATTTGGATAACTAATTTATGTTGGAATAATTAATTATGCCTCTCTTTCTCTTTCTTTGTTTGCTACAATGGTCGGATGCATGTGTCTTGTGGTAATTCCTAGAAGATCAGAGGAACTGGATTAGTTTTTATGTGTATTGTATTCTTCACCATTAATATATCATGTCATTTGTTAGAACTTTAGAAGCAGATGGAGAATTAACAAATTTTGATTTACTGGATGAATTTATATAAGAACCTTTGTTTTGTGCTTGGAAATCTTAGGGTAATTAAAGTAAATCCTTAGCTAGGATTTTGAATTTGAGCAATCATCAAACAAGGTGTATACTATTTTCCTGTACTTGGGAAATTTTGCTAATTGATTAATTGTGATACAGAAAAGTGTCATTTTGGGGTAATCAGATTATTGCATCAATCCCTTAGGTTATCCGTTAATGTGCTCATTTTATGTAGACATGTTATGGGCATTGATCTGTTTCCTTCTTGATGTTTATTTGTATATTGGTAATCAAAATTAAGTCTGGTTGCTTAAAGTTGAATGAAGCTTACTCGGCTAGGGTTTTGTATCGTGACTCTAATTTTCACTCCAGCTGGTCTTTTGTGGTGTTTTTTAATTCTTTAATCATTCATGTGCCTTTGCCTAACCGTTTAAGCTTTTGGGAGAGTTGGTTCATGACACAATATTAGAGCCTTTATGATCAAGTGGTCTAGAATTTGATCCTTGCTACTTGCATTCTTCTTATAAAAACAAAAAAATTAAGCACAAGGTAGGCAGGCCTGTGTATTGTTTATGCTTCAAGCCGAAATGGCTTTTGTGTGAGGTAATGTGTTAGAAATGTAATGTAAAACCTTTTATGTATCTTCATCTAACAACTTAAACTTTTGGGAGAGTTGGTTCATGACAAGAACATTATTGGTTTTTACCTAGTAGGGTAACATCTATTGAGGAGAATAAGCAATTTTATTTTTTAAATCCTCTGTTTATTTGCATTTTTATTTATTTATCTTTTAACTTTTTATGCTCTCGGTTTAGAGGCTATTCTCATTTTTGTTCTCTCTTTCTCCATCTCCTTTTTGACACGGTTGCTTTTTGTTTAGTTCTCATGTAATTGCTCTTAGTTTTTGACTTGTTTAGATATCATTTCAAGTTCGAGTTTTGGTTATAAATGCATACGATGTATGATGATAACATTGAACTAATGAATTCTCTGTTTAGATCTCATTGCTAAGTAATGTACTTCCCCCCCCCCCCCCCCCCCCCATAAAATTCAATGCAGGAATTGTCAATTTCAAATTTAAAGAGTTTGATGCAGCTGTTGAAGACCTTTCAGCTTGTGTGAAGCTAGATAAGGATAATAAGTCTGCCTACACATATTTGGTGGGCCTTAATTTTTAATATTTGGATCCTCATTTAAAGAGTTTAATGTTGTTTTCCTGATCTTTAATGGATGGCGTCTTCATTCTTGCACTGAACAAAATGACTTTACAGGGTTTAGCATTATCTTCAATTGGTGAATATAAGAAAGCTGAGGAAGCACATCTAAAATCGCTTCAACTTGACAGAAATTTCCTTGAAGCATGGGTACATCTGACTCAGGTATCTATCAACCAAACCCGTAGTGTACTGATGGTGTGATCATATTAAACTGAATGTATACTTGAATTATGATTAGTTGTATTCTTGGATTCTACCTGGTATCTCTACTCATATCCTGCTACATTACTTTCATCCATGTCATTACTGTGCCTGTAATCTAATTTGCTTTTTCAACTTGACAAAAGTATCCATTTCATAACAGATTAGTTCACAACTTCACATGTACATTTTTTTATTCAGTTTTAGGCTTATTTCTATGTAGTAGGCTACAATTTTTATGGCATTTTGTTTATAGGCTTAAAGCTATTCTGTTAGATAATTTTGCTTGTTAGCTTTGGGTTGACTGTGTTTTTGACAGTTTTATCAAAGATCTAGCCGTAATAGGTTTATAGCTATTCATTAGGTGATACGATTGTCTCACCAAGGCCCAAACCAAATAAATGGTCCAACCCAATTAAAGTTTATCAGCATAGAGTCGTTGTTGTGAAGAAAGGGAATGTTGCTGATATGGCTAATTAGTTACGGGGTAGTGGGTATTCTTGTAATTGATTGTGGGATGGGTAGCGTTTATAGTGTTGTGGTTTGTTATTGGGGTTTTAGGCTGGTATTACTTTCGTCTACATTTGTAGAGGGCTTGGAGACACTTCCATAGCTCGGAGCTTATGCTCTGTTAATTTCCATTTGTATACGCTTCTTTTTTACATAAATATATCCATAAACTCTCCATTTCGATAGGAAGAGGTGTTTATCCTATTAAATTGGTGCTCTCGTTGAGAGATTTTTTTTGGGGGAGAGAAATTTCTGTGCATGCTCACCAGAATGACGTCACAACGAATTGACGCTTTGGACGCAAAGATGGTAGCGGTTGAATCGGTGCTCAAATCGCAGGAATCTCTTTTGCGCTTGCACGATACTGCTTCGAAGGGACTTTCGCACCAGTTAGTGGAACATTCGACGAAGCTGAGCTCCTTAGTGACCAATATAGGGGACATTATCCAAATTCTGGCAAAAATGTGTACCGAATTCCGAGAAGGACTTAAGTGTCCAGACCAGTCGCTGCACATTCCAATACTCACCGAAGGACAGGGAAGCAAAATATTGACGGGAGTTCCGAGAGGAAAGGAAGTGGTCTTTGTTGCAGAGGAGGAGTTGACAAATGGTACTATTGCGAAGGATTATCGGCTATCAGCTAAGAGAATATAGCTTTCGGTCTTCATCGGGGCAGACCCCGTTGGTTGGATAGCTAGAGCGGAAGCCTATTTTGCCGTGCAAGGCACACTAGAGAGAATGCACGTTCAATACGCACAGATTTGTATGGAGGGAAGCTTCATGGCACTGGTTTAAAGTCTTGAAGGAATCGGATCCGCAACTTGATTGGGAGCGTTTCAAACATGCTCTGTTTGGTTGCTATGGTGAATCATTTTGGGAACCCTTTTGCCCAACTTAAGGGGCTATTACAGGGAGGCACCGTAGACGAATACATAGAAGAGTTTGAAAAGCTGGTTGCCCAGGTCCCACCTCTTCCAGAGGAACAGTATATGGGCCTCTTTATTGGTGGACTGAAGGAAGATGTACGTATGTAAGTTTTACCTTTCCGAATCGATTCAAAATGATTTCCTTTTCCAAGACAGTTGAGCGAAAGTTCCATGGAGGAGCAAAGGTTGCCAGTGGACGAGACAATGGGGGTTTTCGTCGCAGCACAGTGTCTGTTCCTTCTTCAGGTATGGTGCTAAAATAGTAAAAGCAAACTTTTCTCCAATCGGACAGAATCGTTCTGGTCGTAGTGAAGAAAAACGTTGTGGTTCGAACAACAGAGGTGTTAGGAATTTGTCTTATCTTGAACTCATGGAGCGAAGTGCTAAGGGGTTGTGCTTTAAATGCGATCATCAGTACAACCCCACTCATCAATGATCGAACAAGCAATTAAGACTACTCATTTGGGAGGAAGATGAGACAATTGGGAAAACGGATGCACTGGTTGATGTTGAGGAAGCAAAAGACGCAGATGTTGAGGAAGTGGACTTCAAGGTAGCAAATGTTTCTGACATATTTCAATCCAAAACTATGAAGGTGGAAGGAAGTTTGGAGGGATTTCCTATACTGTTGTTAATTGACAGTGGTGCTAGCCATAATTTTATTACCCCAGAGTTGGTTCCTTTTTTGAACCTGCAAATGAGTAACACAAGGGAGATTAGTGTTAGTCTGGGAGATGGCAACAAACGTTTCTCCAGTGGAAGATGTGATGCACTTAATATTCAGATTGGTCGTTTTCAGTTGAATGTTGGTGCTTATATCCTATAGTTGGGTGGGATTGATTTGATTTTAGGAATGGAATGGTTAGAGACCTTGGGCGAGGTTCGCCAAGATTGGAGAAGGAAAACTATGCAATTCTTGCATAAGGGAGAACTGATTAAATTAAAGGGGTATCAAGTCAATGATCAGGATCATCAACTAGCATTACAAGGGTTACTTCATGAAGGAGGGCACGATGACAATGAGAAGACCAATTTAACAGGGGATACTCTTAATGCTGAACGCACAACACAGTAGCAAGAGTCGCTTCAAAGGATACTGGAAGAATTCCATTCAGTGTTTCGCGAACCACAGGGCCTACCACCTCCTCGAGACTCGAATCATGCTATCAACCCGTTACCAGGTACTGCTCCAGAATGTGTGAGGACGTATAGGTATGCTCATCACCACAAGGATGAAATAGAAAAGCAAGTGACTACTCTGTTGCAAAAAGGATTCATCCGCCACAGTACAAGCCCTTTCTCCGGCCCGTTTATTCTAGTAAAGAAGAAGGATGATTCTTAGCACGTGTGTGTACTATAGAGCATTAAATAAGGTGACAGTTCTGGACAAATTTCCTATCCCCATTATTAATGAGTTGCTTGATGAATTACATGTAGCCAAATATTTCTCTAAAGTAGATCTTAAGTCGGGTTTCCATCAAATACAGATGAAAGAAGAGGATATTTCAAAAACTGCTTTCCGTATCCACGAAGGGCATTATGAATACCTTGTTATGTCTTTTGGTCTTGTTAATGCCCCCTCTACCTTCCAATCCACTATGAACTCAGTTTTTCATTCGTGTTTGAGGCAACATGTCTTGGTATTTTTTGACGATATATTGGTTTATAGTCCCTCATGGGAATTTCATTTGCTGCATTTGAGGGAAGTCCTGTAGCTGTTACAGCAGAATAGTTTATACGCCAATAGGAAGAAATGCTCTTTTGGACAATTGTCCATTGAATATCTTGGTCATGTGATATCTCTTGTAGGGGTCGCTATAGATTCATCTAAGATACAGGCTGTCTTGAGTTGGCCTATCCCAATGAATGCTAAAGGAGTTCGTGGTTTCCTTGGTCATACTGGGTATTATAGGCGGTTTATAAAGGACTATGGAAAGGTGGCACGTCCTTTAACTGATCTGACCTAGAAGGAAGGGTTCTTATGGAATGAGGCACAAGCTGCATTTGAGAGGTTGAAACAACTACTCACTTTTGCCCCAGTTCTCGCATTGCCAGATTTTGCCAAAGTCCTTTTCATTAAATGTGATGCATCGGGTTTGGGCCTAGGTGCTTTCCTAATGCAAGAAAAACAGCCTATAGCTTATTTTAGTAAGGCCTTGTCTAACCAGAATCTTTCAAAGTCAGTATACGAGAAAGAAATTATGGTGCTCCCGCTCTCGCAATCCAACATTGGAGACCATATCTAATAGGACGAACCTTTACTGTCCTCACTGACCATAGGAGTCTCAAACATCTAAGCCAATGAATCACCACCATTGATCAACATTGTTGGTTGGCAAAACTCATGGGGTACAACTTTGAGGTGATTTACAAGCCTGGACCAGAAAATAAGGTTGCGGACTCTCTATCCCGTCGGGAGGGTAATCTAGCGTTATTTCACATAATCTCTACTCCATACTGGGTTGATATAGGCAAGGTGAAAGAGGAGTATGTAAACGATGCCAAACTACAGAAAAATATTGCTGCTATCTTTGCTGGTACTGATATACCTTCGGGTTTCACAATGCAAGGGGATCTGTTGTTTTTTAAGAACCGTATGGTGCTGGCTGCCACTTCTTCTCTCATTCCCTCTTTCCTCCAAGAGTTCCATTCACCACCAATAGGAGGACACTCTGGTTTCACTCGAACATTCAAGAGGATTACTGGGGTTTGTTCTGGTTTGGAATGCACAAACGAGTAATGGAATATGTGAAATCTTATGACGTATGTCAAAGACACAAATATTGTACCCTTTCACCAGCTGGCTTTTGCAACCTCTTCCAGTTCCATAGCTAATTTAGGAGGATCTTTCATTGGACTTCATTACCGGGTTACCAAAATCCCAGGGGAACGAAGTGATTCTGGTAGTGGTTGATAGACTATCCAAATATGCTCATTTCCTGCTTCTCAAGCGTCCTTTTTCAGCTGGAACGGTGGCAACTTTGTTTGCCAAGGAAATTCTGCGTTTACATGGCCTTCTGAGGTCAATTGTGAGTGACTGTGATCCGCTGTTCTTAAGTAATTTTTGGAAGGAGTTGTTCCGTTTGCAGGGAATGAATTGAAGATGAGTACCTCATACCATCCCCAAACTGATGGTCAGACAGAGGTCCTTAATCACTAACTCGAAACTTATCTGAGGTGTTTTGCTTCAGAGCAACCAAACAGTTGGTCTTTGTGGATTTCATGGGCTGAATTCTAGTATAATACGTCATTCCACAGCTTTACTGGCACAACACCGTTTGAGGTTGTGTATAGGAGACCCCCTCCTACTATTCTGCATTACTTGCAGGGTGAAACTCAGGTGGATGCGGTTGCTAGAGTTCTATAGGACAGAGATGAAGCTCTTCGTCAGTTGAAACACCATCTCATGAGAGCTCAGCAGTCTATGAAGCAACATCTGCATGTTCATCGTTGTGAAGTCTCCTTTCCTGTGGGCAATTGGGCGTATGTGAAATTAAGGCCTCACCGGCAAGTTTCAGTAGCTCAAAGAATTAATCCGAAGTTATCTGCGCACTTTTATAGCCCTTTTCAGGTGATTGCTAAAGTTGGAGTTGTGGCTTATAAGCCTGCCTCTGCCAGGATACATCCTGTCTTCCATGTCTCATAGCTTCGAAAGGCTATTGGCAATTCAACTGTTGAAGGGAATCTCCCACCTGGTTTGGCCTTAACTGCAGATGAACCTCCTGAACCAGAGGGGGTGCTTGCTTAACGAATTTTAGGAAAAGGTGATCAGTCCCATACTGAATGACTGATACTCTGGAAATACAAACCCATGGAAGAAGCTACGTGGGAGAAGGCTGCCGACATTCAGGGCCAGTTTCCTGTGTTTAGCCTCGAGGACAAGGCAAATTCTAATGGCGAGGATATTGATACGATTGTCTCACCAAGGCCCAAACCAAATAAATGGTCCAGCCCAATTAAAGTTTTTCAGCTTAGAGCCATTGCTGTGAAGAAAGGGAATGTTGCTGATATGGCTAATTAGTTACGGGGTAATGGGTATTCTTGTAATTGATTGTGGGATGGGTAGAGTTTATAGTGCTGTGGTTTGTTATTGGGGTTTTAGGCTGGTATTACTTTCATCTACATTTGTAGAGGGCATGGAGACACCTCCATAGCTGGGAGCTTACGCTCTGTTAATTTCCATTTTATACGCTTCTTTTTTACATAAATATATCCATAAACTCTCCATTTCGATAGGAAGAGGTGTTTATCCTATCATTAGGCTACCCTTTTTCTGCCTATTTATTATCAGTTATGTGCTTAAAGCGATTCTGTTTGGTGATTTATTATCAGTTACCTGAATGTGTGTATTTTGGCAGTTCTATCAAGATTTAGCTAAACCAATAAAAGCTCAGGAATGTCTAAATGAGGTGCTACAAATTGATGGGAGGTAGTTTTTGTGAATGAACCAAATTACTCACATCAGCATTGTTATTTTAGCTGCTTTGTGCCTGTTCACTTCACCCAAGGCTGATTGCTTTTAAGTTTTGTTGTTAGGTTTGCAAGAGCTTATCATTCCAGTGCCCTTCTGTCCCATGCAATGGGTGACCACAGGTATTTGTACAACCATACCTGCTGCTTAATTTTATAGGTTGAATATTTATTTGAAGTGACTGTTTCTTACTTGCCGCGGTCTTGAGAATTTGGTCCATGAAAACTAGTAAGGACAACTTCATGATATAGCAGCACACTTACAAGCAGTATGGAAGCAAATTTGGATTGTAGAACATGTAATAAGGTGAAGCCTTTCAGGAACAAAAAAATTGTTGATAGTACTGTTGGTTTTAGGAACTGAGGAGGGATCATGGGGGGAGAACATAGATTACTTGCCCTTTTTTCATGACTATTATGTTGATTGATATGGCATCTCATTAGTAGGATGGTTTTGTATTTGGAAATTTTGGTTTGTATTAAAGAACAGGCAATTTGAGGAAGAATTATGGTGGGATTGTGAGTATTCCAGAAGTCTCAAAGTCAAAGCATGTAGTTCTATTCCAGAATTATGTTGTGATTGTTTCACTTTGGTACTCTATGTTCTATTACTTGATTTTACTTCTGATTTAAATTGGGTTTGACTATGACAGGAAGGCTATCAAGGATTTAACAATGGAGTTGAACATTGATGGCGCCAATATTGAGTGTTTATATTACCGAGCTTCCTGCTACCATGCTGTTGGACAATACAAAGAGGCGGTATGATCATATTAATTTTAATTTTTGGGTGAAATTTCAGTTTTCATTTGTCATGCTATGACTTTATTTAATGGTCACAGGTCAAGGATTATGATGCTGTGCTGGATTTGGAATTGGACTCAATGGACAAGTTCGTGCTCCAGTGCCTTGCCTTTTATCAGGTTTGTTTTATTGTGAAATAGTATATCTACAACCCATCTTTTTTTCAAATACTATTCTACTTGTCAAAAAGAATGTAAGAACATTTCCTTCTCTGTCACAAAATCTGCTAACAATGTTGAGAGCATTGAGAAGTGAAGTGTCACAGGAAGCATTCAATTAGAGCAAGAGAGAGATGATAGCCCTACCAATATACAAATTAATAGCATGCTAAATTGAACATGTATACTTCTGTTGGCATGTTTCCAAATAGTGCTGTTCACTTCTGCTTTAGATCCTTATGCTACTTAGTTGTCATGTATGTCTACATCGAGACACTTGTGGGACCTATCTTCTTCCCATGATTCAGCTATATATAACTAACTTGTGTACGTTCTTTAATGGCTTTATGGAATTCTGCTGATGGACTTATATGTCATTGGTGCTCTGGGAGTTAACATGCTCCTTGTTAAGTTTCATTTATTAAGAGCCTAGTTCTATGATGTACTTCAACACTTTTCCTCTTTTGCAGAAAGAGATTGCTCTGTACACTGCCTCAAAATTTAACAGTGATTTTTGCTGGTTTGATATTGATGGAGATATTGATGCACTTTTTAAGGTAAAATTTATGAAAGTTATTCTGCCTTTTTCCCTGGTAATTTCCATCTTTCTTGATTCAAAGGTATCTTAATTGGAAAACCCTGTTTACTTGACTTCAGAGTTTCTTGAGCATGCCCATGGGGAGTTTCATATGGGTTTAAAAGATCTTTAGCAATTAGGTTTTAAATCATGGCATACGTGGTTATTCATGTTTTGTAAAGTACGGGGTTCCCATTTCTATTATATTTATTTGTATCTTCGTTATATTCAGGAATACTGGTGCAAGAGATTGCATCCAAAGAATGTATGTGAAAAGGTTTTCAGGCAACCTCCTCTACGTGAGTCATTAAGAAAGGGAAAGCTTAAAAAGCAAGAGTTTACTATTACGAAGCAGAAGGCTGCTCTTCTACAGGCTGCAGATTCCGTTGGCAAGAAAATCCAGTATGATTGTCCTGGTTTCCTCCCTAATAGACGCCAGGTAAAGTTATTCCTTTCCTGCTCTTTTTTTGTGGCTTATTGGTTGTAATCATTTTCCTTTCTTTTCCAACAAATCCTTTTTTTTAAGCGCCACTTTTATTTCTTGACAGTCTTTTGGTGTGTTAAATTGGACTTGTACATTTTTCCTTTATCCTAATAGACTTTGAAAAGGATTTTGTTGCATCTAAAAAATTGGATGATCGTTGTTTATATCATGTTGTAAAATCAAACTGCAAAAGAAGAAAACATGTTATATTATTTCCATTTGCTTCCTGGTAGATATTACATGGCATGTTGTTAGGATTTTATTTTCATTTATTGTCTAAGAGATAATAATATATAGGGAAAAATGTTTGTCCTTTTAAAGGATGGTCATTTTAGTTAAAACTAGTATTTTTTATTTAAAATTTAAATTAAAAAAAAAAACCACCCACTTTCTCCCTCCATTATTTTCATTGTGTATCTCTTTCTCTCACTTAAAAGAACACAATTCTATATCCTTTCTTGTTTTGGTAAACCAATTCTATATACTTTAAAAAGACAAACACTAAACCCTAATATATAATGGTCAAATAACATCATAAAATATGCAAAGGATGTCACTTTTCCAGTTTTAACGCTATAACTACAAAACAGGTCAGAAACCCCCCCTCCCGGGATAAATTTCTGTTAAAGAAATCTTTTATTTCTGACTGTATTTCCCTAAGTAAATGCTTGTGGTTTTCATAGAATCAATATCACTTATGTTGGCTTTCAATTTGTTCTAAAAACATGGATTATTTATATAATTTGTTTTGTATCTTTATGAAGCTAGATTATTTTCTGGATGCTTTATTCTAAATATCTGCAAGTTATGTTATTTTTTTCCTTTATAATTTTTGTGCTTGCACAATCATCTTTTTAACCTGTCTATATCTATATGTTAATATTTCCTTATTTATCAGCATCGAATGGCAGGACTTGCTGCTATTGAAATTGCACAGAAGGTCTCAAAGGCTTGGCGTTCCTTGCGTGCCGAATGGAAATATTCTAATAAAGGAAACTCAAAGACTGGGAAAAGGGCCAGGAGAAGGGAAAGAATTAATATGCCCAGTCAAAACAGAGGAGGTGCGGGTTGTAGTACGAGTAGTACCTTGGATACATCTCCTTCACATGGCACTATAGATGATAAATCATCCAGCCGTACAATGCCATGGCACAATGTTTACTCATTAGCTGTTAGATGGAGACAGATTTCTGAGCCTTGTGACCCTGTTGTGTGGGTTAACAAGCTAAGGTATCCCATCTTGTTGCTAATAATTCTATCGGAGGAGCACATCATGTGTCAGTCCCACCCAAGATTTGTTGTTCAGATATTTTATAATGTGTGGTATTTATATTCATTGCGCACATAGTTTCTCTTTTTATCTCCATTTTTTTGTGCATTCTCTGATCTCTCTAATTTATAATTTTGTTGATTGTGCTATAAAATCCCGTAGTCCCAGAGGCATGACAGAGCTATCATGTATTGTGGTAAACTTTTCTTGCATAAATTCTAAATATATTCAAGGTCCCGTTTTATTTTCAGTTAGTGCAGGTAATATGAGTGTTTGCTAGGTCATAGTCATATCCTCAAACACGACATAATATATTTGAGGTAGTATACTTACATCTAAAAATGTTATTTTGGTGTAGACGAGGTCTTCATATAATACATTAATAACATATAATGGTAAAAGAGCCCCATAACATGACTGGGGGGAGTAGACAAGGAGGGTGTAAATTTACACTTAAGATTTCCAAATTAATCTCAACTATAAGTTTACAAACTTGTATTGTATGCTAACTTGCTGATTTCAACTCCTTTTTTATCAAAAATTTTAAAAAAATAATCTGATTTCCTGATACTTTACCTTTAATCAACTCTATGTCTTTTGAGTCTAAATGAGTAAAATAATGGTGTGCAGCTTCTCGTATTCTCAGGATAGGTTAACTATGAGGTCTCTGTTACAAAGTAATGACAATTAACCATTCCTTCTGTATTTCAGTTTTCTCTCTCTCCCCTAAACTCTCTCAAAGTGTGGATGATTTTTATAAATAAATTTGATAATTCATATTTGCTTTTAACAAAATATTCCATGTTCATCTCATTTGGATCCTTTACTTGTAATTCTTACTATTTATTCCTCTAAATTTTTTGCATATATGGTTTGTCCCTTCTCATTTGATTGTTGTTACAGTTTAGTCCTTCAGAATCTTGTGTTAACTTTTGTCCCTTTTCTGGTGCTTTTAGTGTTTGTGTGGGTTTTTTTTTTTGTTTTGTTGTTGTGGGGTGGTTTTTTTTTTTTTTTTTTTTGGGGGGGGGGGGGTGGGGGTGGGGTGTGTGTGTGTGTGGATAGGGTGAGGTTTTAGATCTGCTTTGTAAAAAAGATGGCTTGTCATTTTTGTTAGCTCTAACTTGATCTCTTTCGATTAGACTTCAGAAAAAACTGAAGCCTATTTATTATATAAGGACCATAAAAGAGGGATAGAAACTGCCCTTACACAGAAAACTTGGTTGACTCAAGTATTACAATTGAAAGGAGGAAAATGAATTTCCAGTGCAACTAGAGTGGCTAAGTATATTTTAGCCTTCATGTTATTTTCCGCTTTATGTGGTTTAACGTCTTTATTGCTTGTTCTGCTATGATTGCTTTGCATTTATTCAAACAGAAAAATATTTCTGCAGTTACCGCAGATAAATAAATTATCTACCGTTACTCCCAAAACGATATCGTTTTTGGATTGAAACATTAAAAAATTATAATAACAAAGACTATAATAACCCTAGAATAAATTAAAATTACAAAAATACCATGATTTCCGTCCCAAAACGACGTCGTATTGGGCTTACTGCAGATAACTTATTTGCAGAAAAAGCGAACCCTTCTTCAAATTATGCAATTTTGAAAGGTCATTTTCTTTTATTCTAAGGCATATACTTTCCTTTATTTGTGACAATAAGCTCAGAATTATATTGGTCTGCTTTAGATAACTTTCTTCTTTTATTGGTTGCTAGCCTGTTAGCCATATTGGTTAATGTGCCTAGTTTTTCTTCGGATTATTATTTCAGAGTTGGACCAAATTAAGATCTTGTGTTCATTACAAAATAAAAATAAAAATTAAGATCTTGTGTTTGATTTGAATTGGTTGCTTTGCACTGCAGTGAAGAGTTTAATACTGGATTTGGTTCTCACACACCTATGATTCTTGGTCAAGCCAAAGTTGTCCGTTACTTTCCTAATTATGAAAGGTAATGAGCCTGTTTTTATTGATAAATTCAACATTAATAGACTGGCTTAGAAAGTGCTTATTATTTTTAAATGCCACAGGACATTGAATATTGCGAAGACTGTAATGAAGGAGAGACCAATTGTCCACAGCAAAACAGATGAGATTATTCATCTTTCCAAAGATGGGAAATTAGAAAAGGTGAATTGTTAATTTTTGTGCCTTTTCCTGTAACATTGCTTGATTTACTATGTAAAAGCACTCTGCCATGACTTTTAACCCCAAAAAGGTTTAGCGTTGAAAAAGTTTTAGTTTGCTTGTCTCATGTCAGAAATGCATCTCTTATGCAATTGTTATGCTGGGTGATACACTAAAGTTATACTTGCAGGATAGACATATTTTATTCTTTATAGGCCTGGTTTCTAGATGCTCACAGAGCATGTTGGGATAATCGAAGTTTTATAGCACATCTCAACCAGCCTTATATCATTTAGATAGGGTTAATGTGTTCCTAAAATAGAAAGTTGACATTCGCAAGTTGCATGATAGGCAGTTTTCCTCATTCATCAGGTCAGATAGACTATGATAAGACTCTCTTTTATTAATGGTAGAGAAGACAATAAAACAGTACAAGAGAAACTCACTTAACAAAGGGCACTCCCTTTTCCTCAAATCCAACTAACAATTCTTGCATATCTCCTAAGACACACAACTTATATATATATATATATATATATATATATATATATATATATAAATATATATAGGGGCAGGATATTCTTACACCGGTGTAAGTTAGAAGTCTTACACTCAATCTTGACCATTGATCCACTTGTATCCAATGGCTCACATTACTAAAAAATTAGAGCCCGTAGATATAAGTGGGATCAACAGACAAGATTGAGAATGTAACTTACACTGGTGTGAAATGATCCTGATCCATATATATATATATATAAAGAACCAATTCAACCCAAAAACCTGTTGGGTGAGGCTATATTAATGGTTTTATATATCTCAACACGCCACCTCACACGAGAGCCCATGGGCTTGAAGGGTGAACAATGCACAGGCCCACCTACCTGTGCGAAAAAAAAATTCCACTAGAAAGAAAGTGAGGGCGGTGAGGGTCGAATCCGGTACACCGAGGCTCTGATACCATGTAAAGAACCAATTCAACGCAAAAGTTTAAACTATTGGGTAAGGCTAATGTATATTCAAGGTCCCCCTTACAGAAAGGTAACTGCTGAATTGGCAACAACAAAACAGAATTGGCAACAAAGTAAATGACAAAATCAAATTAATGGAATTTGAAACTAAATAAAATCATTGACTCAAATCAGTAATAAATTATTGACCAAATCAATAATGGATTTTCGATTAAATCAATTATTGATTTTTGCTCTTGATTTTCGATCAAATCAATTATTGATTATTGCTCTCCTTGTGTAAACCTTCCAAACCATGGGTTTATCAGTAGCAGTCGTATCAATACTTCTCCCCTTGAGAATCAACCTTGCCCTCAAGGTTGAAATATGGAAATTGAGCTTGTAGTCACGTCCTCCCAAGTAGCTTCCTCAAGTTGCTGGCCTTTCCATATTGGATCAGGACTTGATCAATGAGCTCCCCTTGCTGCTGAAGCGGCCTATTTCTCAAAACTTGGGCTGGATAAAATTTGAAACCATCAACCTGCAAATCTGCCGGTAATTCCTCTCCCAACAAATGCTCCCCTATAGCCTTTTTGAACTGCGAAACGGGAAAGATAAGATGTATATGGGCTCCTACAGGATGTTGCAGCACAAAAGCTACAAGACCCACCTGTTTCAGCACCAAATAAGGTCCATAAAACCTGGTAGCAAGCTTTGGATCCAATTTTGAAGGCATGGAACATTGCCGTCGTGTTCTTATCTTCAAATAGACCTGATCCCCATTCCGAATGTCCATAGGCATCCTATATTTATTGGCTTTTCTGGACATATATGATTGAGCCCGATGCAAATGAAATTTAAGTTGTCTATGGGCCACATCTCGACCCCTGAAGTTTTGGGCAACTGCTTCTACTAATGTCTCCCCCGGAAAAAACATCGTAATAGTTGGAAAGGGTCTACCATAAATTACTTCAAAAGGAGTGTATTGGGCAGCCGAGCGAAAGCTCATATTATACCAATTCTCGGCCCAAGGAAGGAATTCGCCCTATACTTTGGGTTGCTGAGAACAGAAACAACGCATGTAGGTATCTAAGGTTGGATTAATTATCTCCATTTGCCCATCGGTTTTAGGGTGATAAGCCGTATGGTGTTTAAGAGTGGTACCCTACAACCTGAAAAACCTCTTGCCAAAATTGATTAATGAAAGTTCGATCCCGATCACTAACAGTAGTTGAAGGAATGCCATCTAAGCAAAAACCTCTATATAACAAAAACTTTTGCAATACTCATTGCTGTGGATGGATGTTTCACCATGACAAAATGAGCATACTTGCTCCATCTATCAACCACAACTTGTATATAATCAAACCCCTTAAATCTTGGTATCCCCACGATGAAATCCATACTCAGCCCCACCAAAATAGCATAAGGAATGGGCAATAGGAGAAGTTTGATACTTATTCCATTGGCAAACTTGGTAAGCAGCAACAAATGCATCCATTGTCTCTTTCATTCCCACTCAAAATGGATTAAGCTAGTCTTCTAAATGTACAAAATACACCAGCATGTCCGCATGAAGGAGATGAGTGAAATTCATGAAGCAATTTGGGAATCTAGGCTGAGGTATTGTAAAATAGCCTCCCTTCCTCCCGTGTATATTGCGGGTGAGAATTTGTGTAAAAAACCAATTCAGCCCAAAAGTTTAAGCTGGTGGGTGAGAGCTTTTTAATGGTTTATATTATTTTCTAATATGTCCCCTCATACGAGAGCCCATTGGACTTGAAGAGTGGACAATGTACAGGCCCACCTACCTGTGCTAAGAAAATTCCACAAGAGAAAGTGGGGGGCGGTGAGGATCGAACTCGGGACACGGGGCTCTGATACCATGTATAGAACCAATTCAGCCCAAAAACTTAAGCTGTTGGGTGAGAACTTTTTAATGGTTTATACTATTTTCTAACAGTTTGGATCACGTTTTGATACGGTATTCTTTTTTATGGATAAGAAGAAACGTAAAGGTAATACAAAGAAGACTCTCCTCACTCCAAAAGGGCACTCTGTATTGGTCTCAATTCAAAAACTAAATTCTCTCTCCCCTATCAATTCTGAACCAGCCTTTAAATAAACTAATAAAATGATAGAATTGGCAACATAATCAAATCAGCAATTAAATTTGGAAACTAAGTAATCTGGAATTTAAAAAGAATAAATCTGGAAAGTAAAAGTATTTATGACCCAAATAGTAATCAAATCATATCTCAACATCCCATTCCATATGATTATTAATTTGTGACCAAATTAATTATCGGTCTTTCCTTTTTTGGTGTAGACCCTCCAAATTGCGAGTTTCCTTGCATCAACTGTATCAATAATCAATCCCCCCCCCCCCCCCCCCCCCCCCAAAAAAAAAAAAAATAAAAAAACAAAGAATCGACCTTGCCCTTTAGGTTGAAGTTGGGGAATTGGCCTTGAATGGATGTTACTTTTTCCCATGCGGCTTCTTCTGGTGGTTGATTTGCCATTAGATGAGCAGTTGGTCAATCATCTCCCTGTGGTGTTGGACCTGCCTATAACCTAGCACTTGTGCTGGATAACAAATGTGCTCATCAATCTCTAAGTCATTAAGCAGTTCCTCTTCGACTGATTGTTCTCCCACTGCCTATTTTAGTTTGGAATCATGGAAAACAGGATGTATCCTTGCCGTAGCAGGAAGCTACAACCTGAACGCCATTGGGCCAATCTGCTTCACTACCAAGTAGGGTCCATAAAATTGGGCCAGCTAGTTTCAGGCTTAACTTGGAGGGCATATGCGATTGAGCCCTGTGTATGGAATTTTAATTGTCTAAGAGCCTCATCCCTATCCATCAGATCTTGAGCGACTGCTTATACCAAAGTTTCCCCTGGGATGAACTTAGTGAACGTAGGGTGAGGTCTACCATATACTATCTCAAATGCGGTGCAGTGGGCGGCAGAATGAAAGCCAATATTATACCAATATTTTGCCCATGGAAGGAATGCATCCTATGCGCGAGGCTATTCAGAACAAAAGTGATGGGCCTAAAAATAGTGAATAGGTTAGTTAATTTGTTAGGAAACTTTCTAGAATTTTCTTAGAGGAGAAAATAAAAGGAGTGTGTGTGTGTGTGTAGTGAGGTGGTCATGAATTGAGTATTGGTTTGGTGGGGAAATTAGGGATCTCTTGAAGCCTAGGTATGTTGGCTTTGAGGGGAAGTTGAGGTCTTTTGGGTTTATTTTCTGCGATTAGTGTTTGTAAGGAGCTTGTCTCCATTTATGTTTTTCATCAATTTACGGTCAAATTCAGTATTATTTTTCTAGTTCCATCAATTTGGTATCAGAGCAGTGTAATTTAATTACCTCCGTCTGTCCATCAGTCTCTAGGTAATATGTGGTGCTAAATTTAAGGACGATGCCTTGTAATTTAAAGAACTCTTGTCAGCAATTGCTAATAAAGGTTCTGTCCCGATCACTTAAAATGAATAGGATGCAGGCGTACAATTTCTTTCACAAAGACTCCAGCAATACCTCTGGCAGTGAAGGGGTGTTTGATCATCTCAAAAGGAGCGTATTTGCTCAACTTCTCAATCACCACTACCCCTTAAATCTTGGCAGTCCCACTATAAAGCCCATGCTAAGTTCTTACCAGATGCATTTGGTATGGGTAGAGGTTGCAGTAATCCGGTTGGAGAAGATGTTTTATACTTGCTTCTTTGGCAAGTGGGTTAGTGGGGCAGGCTGCCACATAAGTCGTCACACTTCCTTTCATCCCTATCCAAAAGACATACTGCGCCAACCTTCTAAAAGTGCAAAACGCCCGTGTCCTCTGTTGAGAAATATAGTCCCACATTGGTTGTATGGGCAACTAATGTGAGGTTTATAAGACCTTGGGCACTCCCACCCTTTGAGCTAGCTTTTGGGGTGGTGACCTCAAGTTCTTTACATGGTATCAGAGCGTTCGAAATCTCACCGCCTCTCACTTTCTTTGTAGTGGAATTTCCACATGTAGGTGGGCTTGTATGTTGTCCACCCTTCAAG